CTCTGCCCCTCCCCCCTGCTCATGCTCTCTCTCTCTCTCTGTCTCTCAAATAAATAAATGAAATCTTTAAAAAAACTTTAAAAAATAAAATTAATTTTATCAATGTAATATAGATTGTCCACAAAGGCAGGAAACATAGGTTGAATTTATTTTTAAGCAGTATGTTAACATTTTCATATAATATGTTCCATATATATCTCTACCTCCAGATAGCTTTTTAGGTAAAGTACCTCTAAATTTAAAGCAAAGGGCTTAGTTGTTAATTTGAAAAAAGGACAGTAAATTATGCAAATTTGCTTTGTATTCTGGATACTCTGAGGTATGTGTTCTGTTATACTTTTGGGCAGATTGGCAGTTGGACCCATCCTTTTAAGTTAGAGTTATGGTTCACTTGAAGTTACACATCACTTGAAACCATATCAAGCATGTCACTGAAAAATGTAACTAACATACTGTTTTTTAAAATTTGAAACTATGTATACATGTAGTTTAAAAAGTTAAGTAATAGTAAAAGATTTCTCACAGTGGGTTCTCTCTCTACTAATCCCACTCTCCCAGGTGCAATTGCCCAACCCCAGAGGCAACTATTTTCAAATTTCTGTTTATCACTCATATCTACATTTATAGATAATACGTAAACTGCTATCCTTCAAGTTATCAAGTTTTAGTTATTACTTACTGGTTTCCTGTCATGATGAATGAGGGTTTTGTGCTCTTGTGTGATTTTTTTCTCTGCTTTTGCTCCCTTATCCTTCCAATACAGTTATATTACAATTTTTGGATATATTTCTGCTTGATATTTACATTATTATATCCGATCAATTATTTGCAGCTAAGCATAGTAGTGTACTATGACTCTTTCTAATGGACTTTTTGTTTTTTCCTGAAGTTAATACTTAATTTGTTTTTACATTTGCTTTATTTTCTTTATGGCTGTTGCAGTGCCATGCTCATAAATGTTCGGACCCCCCTCCCCCCCAAAAAAGCCCTGATTTGTATTGTTTGCATTTGTTTGTATTGTATTTGATTTTTCATTTCAAATTACCAGTGTGAGGTCACTGAACAAGTTGCTGAGAAAAGATGCACACAGTTGGTTCTCCGCTATTAGTTTTCTCATACCTGCTAATGGCCCACATTGGGATTTTAAAATTAAGTTTTCCTCTTCTTCTGTTATATTTTTAAAGTAATTTTGTCTCATCAAAGGACTTACTGGCTCTGAATCTCTTCTTTTGAACTCTGAATGTTTCAGTAGGCCTTGGGGACTTTTATCTGTGTATACTTATACTTACAGAAGGAAGAGATTTCAGAGTTCTGTCCCAGGTATACAGGGCCCTGGCCAGAGGTGAGGCCGAAGTGACACCATCTAGTGGCGCTATGTTGCTAGAGGAGGGACAAGGCTGTTGGTGAACAGGAGTCACGGTGAAGCTATGGAGGTCTCTAAAATTAATTTTGGAGAGAAATCTAATACATCTTTTTTTCAAAAGCCTTGTTTATTTATTTGAGAGAGACAGCACGCGTGCACACACGCACATGCAGGGGGAGGGGCAGAGGGAGGAGAGAATCTCAAGCTGACTCCCCACTGAGCGCAGGGCTCAGCTGCGAGGCTGGCCCTCAGGGTTCTTTTTGAGGCTGGTTGCTTGAGCTCCTAGTCATCTGGGGCCCTGCTCCACTTCCCTAACTGGCCTGACTACTTATGTTTGGTGCTTCCACAATGCCTGGCACCACACATGCCAAGCAAGGGCTGGGATGGCATATTTGGGCCCGCTGCTTGCAGAACTTGTTCATGAGTTGAAAGTTGGCCTCCTCTGAAAGCTGGGGCCCTGAACTCATCTCCAGGCTCTGCTCCTGTGGACCTGGGAGGTATCTGAGTTAGGTCAGAGTTCTGGTTGCCTGCAGAAATTGGTGTATGAGCCATTGCCATCGGCATCTCTCTGCCAACGAGGACACTGCAGTGACAACTGGCCTTGGAATCCTTTGTGACAAGGCCAGCTTTTACTTGACCTGCCATTGCCCAAGTGTGGGCTGGAGGTGTGCACCACCACACCTCAGGCAGCTGGCTGGCACTGCTCTGAGCTTAGCAGTGTTTTGAGGTCATCCTGAGGGGGTCCCATCCACTTTCTGGCCAAACGGCTTTTCCTTCTCTTGCATTAGATTCATTCATGGGCAAGATCATGCAGCCTTCCATTCTGCAATAAATCTTATTAAAAGGCTTCAAAATTCTGGTTCATTGACGGTCTTCCCCTTTCCCCAACTCCCCCAACGTTCAAGGCTGAAACAGACTTTTCCTTTTCCCTTTAAAAGTTTCCTTGTTCAGGGCGCCTGGGTGGCTCAGTTGGTTAAGCGACTGCCTTCGGCTCAGGTCATGATCCTGGAGTCCTGGGATCGAGTCCCGCATCGGGCTCCCTGCTCGGCGGGGAGCCTGCTTCTCCCTCTGACCCTCCCCCATCTCATGCTCTCTCTCTCTCTGTCTCATTCTCTCTCTCAAATAAATAAATAAAAATTAAAAAAAAAAAAGTTTCCTTGTTCAGGGCGCCTGGGTGGCTCAGTTGGTTAAGCGACTGCCTTCGACTCAGGTCATGATCCTGGAGTCCCGGGATCAAGTCCTGCATCAGGCTTCCTGCTCAGCAGGGAGTCTGCTTCTCCCTCTGACCCTCCCCCCTCATGCTCTCTCTCATTCTCTTTCTCAAATAATAAATAAAATCTTAAAAAAAAAAAAGTTTCCTTGTTCATTTTGATGGGATTTGGGTAGGGATGTTCATTGACTTGGCTTCAGTCACTGTTTAAGCCGGAAGTCCCAATATGGCACCTCGGTTGCCGTCATTCTGGGTTTATGTACGGCAACGATGCTGCCCTTTTGGACTGCAGAGGAAAGTCTTCTTAAGAAAGTACTGTGATCTGGCACCAGGGGCTCAAGCAGCTCTGAATGCTCCTGTGCTGATTGTTGGACGGCAGGTCGGCTTTCTGGAAAGGTCTGCGGAGTTAATGTAGTTAATGGTGGTTGGAAGGCATCGGTGGGGGAAAGCTGTGAAAATACTTTGTTTCTTTTTAAGGGCAGGATGAGATACCTGAAGGAGGGAATGCTCAGTTGTTACTATCTTGAGTATGTATTGTTGACTCACGTTCCTGCATTTGTGACGAACCTGTTTGATGCAACTCAGAAATGATCATTTTAAGAAATGAAGTTTAAGATTCTCTAAGCAGGCTTTTCTCAAAGGGTGGTCTGTGGGTCTGGGGCCATGGAATTCTGGGCAGAAGGGGCTTCTTCAGAAAGCAGCAGGATCTTGCTCTGGACCTGCTGAATTAGAATAGAGCTGAGTCCCGGAAACTGGCATTTTACGTCAGCACACTACCCCCCTCCCACCCCCCTGCCAGGGATTCTGTATAGCCCAGGTCGGGGAGCAACTGGTCTCGATCCTTGGCTCTTGTTTGGGGTTGCTATTCTCTGCAAACTTTGGTTTTTCTTTGGTTTTGCTTAAGCAGCCCTCTGATGTCAACATCGGTGGAGTTTCTCCCCACGTTATCATTCATTCCTGCCCATTTTGTTTTAAACTCCAGGATGAGAATTACTGAATTTCCTGAGTTGCTTTGCATTTCTGGATTCCTAACTCTGAACTTTTGATTCCCTCTCCCACAGAGCCGAGAAAACAGAAGTCCTCAGTGAAGATCTGTTACAGGTAACAAAATAAAAATCTTTTTCAAGTACTTTGTTTAAAGAGGAAAACCAAACCAAACCAAACCTCATAGGTGAGAACTGAAGTGGATGTGTGTATGTATTCTCTGAAACAGAATAAAATTGATCCGCATGATTCTGAGCGGGAAAGAAAAGCAGTTGGGTTGCATGGTGATAAAAAGGGGATCAGAAACTTTGGTGTCATGTTATGAAGTTCAAATGGGGCTAGTCCTGCTTTCAAGTGCCAGGTGTTGGGGTGGGGTTTGGGGAGGGACCTGTCTGGCCCGGCTGGTCCAGTGGCACTGCGGCCTGGTCATGGGTCCCGGGCAGGCGGAGGGACCGTCGTTCACTGCTGGGATGGCGTCCTTGATGGCATGGGCCCGGCCAGTGGCAGCAGAGGGCCCCACTGGCTCCAACCTAGAGTTTCCACTTCTTCCCTCTCACGCTATTGTTCTCCAGTTCTGGGCTGAGCTGGGTCCCCAGGGACTTAGAGTCTCAGTGACAGTGACCAGATCTGGTGGAACCACTCTGAGGCCCTGAGGTGGCCTGTCATCCACCTGGACGTCTTTTCCTCTCCGTAGGGAGGGGTGTTTCCTGTGGGGACCTCAGCCAGGGCCGCTGCACTTACCTCTCAACAGGCTTCCCAAACTTTGGGGCTGTGAGTTTCTCCCAGAAGGCCTGGACCCTTTATACACATGCCTTCGCTCAACCTCAGCCCCCCTGTGTCCCCGCCACCTCAGAGCGCACCGGGAAGGACAGAGCCCCTCCTGTACTGAGGTTTCTCTGAAGTCTTCTTGCTCGTGTCATTTCCATAACCCACAGCAGGTGTATGCACTTGACCCCTGAAGACCAAAGATCCGCTCCCAGGTGACCCCCCGTCTCTCCCTAGGGAGAGAAGGAACCAGCGTAGTTTAGAAGAATGTTACTTGTACCACCCCATGTCAGAACATCCTTCTTGATTATGACAGCCAGCCACAGGTACAAGATTTTAAGAGCCCCCCCTTTTTTTAAAGGACCAGAAGTCTTTATTAAGGATTAGGGTTTTTTTTCCCCCAGATTTATTAGACAATCATATTCTTTTTTTTTTTTTTTAAAGATTTTATTTATTTATTTGAGAGAGAGAAAGAGCACAAGAGGGGGGAGCGGGAGAGGGAGAAGCAGACTCCCTGCCAAGCAGGGAGCCCGATGCGGGACTCGATCCCGAGACTCCAGGATCATGACCTGAGCCGAAGGCTGTCGCTTAACCAACTGAGCCACTCAGGCGCCCTAGACAATCATATTCTTTTTTTTTTTTTTTTAAAGATTTATTTATTTATTCGAGAGAGAGAGAGCATGAGAGGGGGAGAGTCAGAGGGAGAAGCAGACTCCCCGCCGAGCAGGGAGCCCGATGCGGGACTCGATCCCGGGACTCCAGGATCATGACCTGAGCCAAAGGCAGTCGCTTAACCAACTGAGCCACCCAGGCGCCCGACAATCATATTCTTAATAATGTTTCCTCACTGGCTTTTACCACGTATTTCAACTTCATTTTCAGACTTCCAGCAATGTTGTTCGGTCTTAGTTAACCTTTAACTCGACTGGGTTTTCACGCCCGTGTTCTGTCTCCCACATCCCACACCAGTAATAGACACGATCTCATTGAATCCCTGAAGCCTCAAGATGCGGCCAGGGGGCCTCGCAGGCAGTTCGAGGGCGGCAAAGTTCCCGTGGAAGGCAGGCGGCAACTGTCTGCGCTTGAGGGACAAGCATCCACTGGGGCCCCAAGAGTTCGCCGGTTTCTAGGAACACCTCATTTCATGACACGGATACTTACTCCACATCTGCCATCATTGCTACAGATGTTTTCCCCTTCTTTGACTATAAAGAAGGAGAGTAATGGGTGAAAGTATGGAGTCTGGAGCCTCCCTACCCAGGTCTGCCCTTGACTTGCTCTGTGGCCTCGGGGATTTACTGAACCCACCCTAAACCCAAGTGCCTCAGTTTCCACTTCACTAAAATGAGGATAATGGCTGTATCCACCCCTTTGGGTTATTAGCAGGAGTTAATGGGTTAAACAGGAGAGCACGAGGGATAAGCCGCGGAGATTTGTTTGTTTCTGGTGTGAAACTTCCCTTTACTTGCTCTGTATCCTCCTGCCACTTAGATCAGTTCAAGAGGCTCTATTTTGCCTGTTTTTTTGCTCATAAGTAAGTTCATTTTGCTCATGTGGAGTTTTCCTGGGAGGCTATGAATCCTGGGAGGGCAAGAAGCACAACTTATTTACTGTTGTTTTTGTAATACCTGGCACGGGAACTTGATACATATTTGTCCTTTCAACAAATATTAAATGAGCACCTTCCATTCGTGAACCAGACAGTGTTCCGGACACTCAGGAGAAATCAGTGAACAAAACAGACCAAGGTCCCCATCCCTATGGACTTGACAGTTTTCTAGTAGAAATCAGAATCAAAGTGAAATGGAGTTTGTGGGGGAAGGGTTGTTTTGGTTTTGGTTTTGGTTTTGGTTTTACCTGTTTTCGTGGCAAATAAAGAGTGTGTATTCGTTTTCCAATGTTTTAGAATCCGGTCATTATAAGATTAGGGGGAGGTGATGGGGCATCTGGTCCTTTTATGCCTGCCAGATCAGGGTCCTGGTGGTCGGGCCTTGGCTCTGAAGAAAAGCTGCTGGGGCAGTGAGGACCTTCAAGAAAGAAGCACAGAACCATATCACTGGGTAAAACGTTGTGGGGTAAAAATGCATTCTGCTTTGAATTTGTTGATTTTTCTTTAAAATAGAAAGCATCCCTAAGGGCCTGCACTCGGTCTTAATGAGTCATCAGAATACACATTTTTGGCATTCCTTCTCGTGAAAAGCAGCTCTCTTTGCCATAAACAGCCATATCCCAGCAGTAATATTTTGGGAAACTAAATCGTAATGCATGGGTCCCCTAAGTCAGTGTTTCTTACTGTTGGCTGTCCCTTCTGCTTTAGAGGTTTATTGAAAACAAAAACAAAGCCAACAACCCACCCTAAACCCAATAAGGAATCATTCTGAAGACACTGACCTTGAGTGGAAATTGTGGAACATTGATTTTGATCCTTCAGCCTGATGTCCTGTGCGCAGAAGGCACTGTCGCTGTCTGCAGGAGGTCGCTTCTGAACGTCCCTGTGGCTTTTTCCACTTGGCAGTGGGCCTGGGCCTGAGGTGTTCATTTGCACTCCTGCAGGCTGGAGCCGGGGCTTTGCTGGCCCTGTGGTGTGTAACTCGGCTACTGCCACTCTTTCTGATAGGAGGTTTTAGTCCAGACTCCACTCCCTCCCTGTGCGCAGACTTGGCCCTTAAGAGATTGAAACCCCTCGGTGTAAGGGAGGTCGAGGCTCTCCACCAGGGGCTATTGCGTTCGCCCTCTGGGGGGATGTTGGACAATGTGTGGCGACATCTTCGGTTGTCACACCTCGGGGAATGGGGTGCTACAGGCATCTAGTAGGGAGAGGCCAGAGATGAGGCTAAACACACCATAATGCACAGGACAGCGCCCCCCCTGAATTATCTGGCCCCAAATGTCAATAATGAGAACCCCTGGTGTAAGTGAATGGGGACCATTTCCACGTACATCCCAGAGCTAAACACTTAGACCAGGGGATGCTTTTTCTGCCTACGGGCCGGCGCCACAAAGGAAGAGGCTGGGTGTGTTCTTCAGCCCCTGCAAATGGCTCGTTTGTCTCTGTTTTGTCAGATCGAGCGGCGCCTGGACACGGTTCGATCAGTGTGCCACCATTCGCACAAGCGTCTGACAGCATGTTTCCAGGGCCAGCATGGGACCGACACCGAGAGGAGATACGTGAGTAGCGGGTGTGACCCAGGGCCGTCGTTCTTGCGTCTCGGTGAGGCTTTGCACCCTGCAGACCCTTGGTTTTTCTCAGGCAGGAGCAGCTGTTGCCTGCAGATTTGTACCTTATATCGCCATTTACTCTCGTGACGCCTGCCTGACCAGAACATTCTTTTGTGCTTAAGACATTGCTGAGCTGAAAGCCCTGCTCACACTGAATTTTCTCCAGGTGCTTTTAAAGACTCAATGAGCCATTTGTCGTTGATAAGACAATGGAGATGTCTGTTAGGAATGCTTTGATGGCAAAAAAGCTGAAAGCCTGTCTTAAATGGACTTAGAAAATGGACATAATTTATTGGCTTACTGACCGAAACGTCCAGAAGCTGGGGTGGACTTGAGGTGAAGCTTGGGCTAGCATTTCAGTGGTGTAACCAAAACCCCACTTTCTTCTCTTCTGTCCCTTCTGCCTTCTTCAGTGTCTGCTTTATCCCTAAATGGGCTCCTCTCATGGTCGCGGGTTGGCTACCAGCAGCTTCCATGGGCTACTTGCTTCCTTGTGCGTGTCCAGCAGGAATAGAAAGTGTGTCTTCCAGTAGTTTTCTTAATGGAGTGGGAAATCTTCTTTTTCCAAGTCCTTGGCAGGTAGAAACCACCTTCCATTGCGTTGGTCCATACTGAGCCATATTTCCCATTCTGGAACATTCCCATTCCACCCTGATCACCGTGGGCAGGGGCGAGGTTGGTGAGGACATGGGATGTGCTGGTTGGTTAAGCTAATCAGGGCCCAGCCTTAGAGCGTGGGCTGCAGAGCTACCAACAGCTCACGGGCTTTACTGAGACCGGGGTGGATCCCTAAGAGAAATCAGGATGCTGTCGTAGAGAGAAGAGGGATGCACTCCAGGAGAACCATTGAATGTGTCCATTTGGTCAAAGCATCCGACTCCTGTGCCACCAGCAGCAGTGCTCATGGGCCAGTCCCATCCTTGGGTTTCCGAGATCCTAGCTCAGGAGCATACGCTAACCCTCGGAAGCCCACGTGCCATTAAGGTGATAGTTTCAGGGGCAGCTATGATTTGCCAAAGTGCTTTGTCTGTCACCGGATGTCTCACAACGAAGAACCAGCATGCAGATGATCTGTGTCGCCCTTCTTTTATATTTCCTTACAGACATTTATGGGACGTCTAGACAGCAGGGTTATTCCTCTCTTGTGCAATACTTAGTTGGCTGCAGTAGGTAGAGACCAAAGAGTAGAGCTTTGTACGCACCCACGATGGCAGGAATGCCTGCTGCAGGTCCAGCCCCGCAGAACCAGACTCAATCCCCTGGTCCTGTCCCCACGGCTCCTCTCCTTCTCTTGCCATGGCTTCTGTTCTACCTACCCTTTTCACATGGTGCCCTAAGGCTTTGTCCTCCTCCTTATTCCCCCAGCCACATTCCTTGGGCCACCTCCTCTGTTCTCATGGCCTCTAGCTGATGTGTTTATGCCAGGGACATCTAAACCATTTCAACCAAGCAAAAACACTTCCTTCCATAGATGTCTATTTTAGTGTGTGTAACTAGTTCTTCCTTCTGTGTTGACTCTTAAGTTCCACCCACCCTATTATGCAAGCCAGAAACTGTAGGGTTACCTTACATTCCCTTTCCTTTTATCCTCACCCTCCCACAGCTGCTTGAGTAGCAAGTCCTGTGATTGTGAGTATCTTTTGAATTCCTCACCTCCGCTCCATCTCTGCCACCTTCACCTTAAAGCAGAACCTGATTACCTCTCACCTGGATGGTGTGGTCACCTCCTGAGCTTCAATTCCTGCCTCTGGTTCCTTTTTTTTCCAGCGTGTCTCCAGCCAGATCACCAGAATGTTCTGAAATACACATCAGTACTCTCATCCTCCTGCCTGAAAAAAAGTCTTAGCTTCGTGGTTCTCCAGAGCGACCAGAATTACACCCATGGGGAGATTTGGAAATATGTGGAGACATTTTGGGTTGCTGTAGGACCTGGGAGACACTACTGGTGTTTGGAGGGAGGGGACCGAGATGCCGAACATTCTGCGGTGCCTGGAGGGATAGTTTCACACCGGAAGTGGCCCCTGATGCCCGTGGTGCCTCTTTGAGGGGTGCTGGCTGCTTCCCATTGGCAGGATTAGAGTCCAAGCTCTTCAGCATGACAAGCCCTTCATAATCTGACCCCATTTCCCCTGACAGTCCCCGTGTCTCCCGCTTCCTCTCTGTGCCTTTGTCCTTCACGTTGTTATATCTGGTCGCTCCCTCTGACCGCTGGAAGACACAACCTAGGTGTCCCACATACTCCATAAAAACAAATTAAATGAGTATTTATCAAACACCTACTATGTACAAGTGCTAGAGATAGAAAATGAAGAAGAGATAGTCTCCACCTTAAAGGTGCTCACAGCCTGGTGGGGAGAGACACACAAAGGGATCATTATAAAATGACATGTGTAACAAAGTGTGCACAGGATACCATGGGAGGATCAAGAATGGGCATCACGGGAGGAGAGAGGTAGTCAGGCGAGGCTGCCTGGAGGAGGTGGTGGTCCAGCCATAAAGGAGGGCAATGAGCGGCAGGTGATGGGCATATTCTAGGCAGCGGGGGCAAAGGTGCCTGGCCCTCAGTTCTAAAACCTAATGCCTGAGGCTTCCTTTTCCAACCTGGAACAGAAGAGCCAAAGACAGAACTCTGCGGCTGTCTACACTGTGCACATGGGAGGGGCAGTCACCATAGAAACGATAGGAGGTAGGCGACCACAGAGGTTGTACAATGCGGAGAAAATGGCGGCAGCCTCTAGGGCTCTAGAATACACAGGAGGAGCCCCCAAAGGCCCCACGAGAGGCTCCCATGCATGTGCAGAGGCAAGACTTGGAGGGGGTGGTCTTCTCAGCCCAAGACATGGACACAGCAGAGCTTCTGCCGTGCATCACGTGAGACCTGGAGTGCCTGCCTTTTGTGCAGTTGGCAGGCATTTTATAAATTATGACATTAGAACTTTTTTTTAAAGATTTTATTTGTTTATTTGACAGAGAGAGAAACATAGCGAGAGAGGGAACACAAGCAGGGGCAGAGGGAGAGGGAGAAGCAGGCTTCCCGCCGAGTAGGGAGCCCGATGCGGGGCTCGATCCCAGGGCCCTGGGATCATGACCTGAGCCGAAGGCAGACGCTTAACGACTGAGCCACCCAGGCGCCCCAGACGTTAGAACTTTTTATTTTTTATTTTATTTTATTTTTTAAATTTTTTTTTTTTTTTTAAGATTTTATTTATTTGCAAGAGAGAGAATGAGAGACAGAGAGCATGAGAGGGAGGAGGGTCAGAGGGAGAAGCAGACTCCCTGCTGAGCAGGGAGCCCGATGCGGGACTCGATCCCGGGACTCCAGGATCATGACCTGAGCCGAAGGCAGTTGCCCAACCAACTGAGCCACCCAGGCGCCCCGTTAGAACTTTTTAAATGAATCCCTGGTGATAAAAAAGCTGTCGGTGCCTAGGAAGTGCTTAGCCGTGTTCGTGGAGGAGCATGGTGACGGTAGACAGCATCTTCATCAAGGAGCACAGGGTTAAATAAGCGGAATATCCTTATTTGTATACATCAGGAAACAGGATTGTTGTGGCTTTGGGGTCAGAGCCTGGAAACCGCAAGGCTGTTTATAGCTGGGAACTTGAATGATACTTGCAATGGAGACTCCTCTTTTATGATTTCTTTTTGTCCAGAGCTCCAGAGTTGCACAAAGTATATTTCTCCTGATTATTACATTTATCCTAGAGTTAAATTCCCTCCAAAAGGCAGCATTACTGGGCTTCCTGGCCGGCACAGTCGGCTGAGCATCCAGCTCAGGTCGTGGTCTCGGGGTCGTGACCCCCATTGTATTCTGCCCTCAGTAGAGTCTGCTTGGGATTCTCTCTCCCTCTCCCTCTGCCCCTTCCCACCCCTGCTCACGCACTCACTCTCTCTCTCTAGAATAAGATAAATCTTAAAAAAAAAAAGGCAGGCAGCCTTACGAAAATGTATGAATTACCCTCACTATGATCAAGGCACGCTGCCCGTTTTCTCCTCTCTTCCTGGTCTGGAAGTGTAGAAACTGAGGGGCAGGTGGGGCAGGTGGGGCAGGTGAAGCCTGTTATTTACTTATTTGAAAACAACTTGAGAAGGCAAGAGATGGGTAAATATAGTTGTTGTTATTTATCTCTGCATTTCAATATACTGTCTCGAATAGGCTGCCTATTTACATGGTCAAAATCCAGTACATACAGAAGAACATAAAGCGAGGTCTCTCCCGGTCCTGTTCCCCAGGCGCCCTGCTGCCTTCTCCAGAGTGACCAGTGCTGGTAGTTTCTTGTATAGCCTTCCAGAGATATTCTCT